TTGGTAAAAAAAAATTAATAAATAAGGGGAGAGTGGGGCAGGCGGCGGAGGGGCCCACGGGGAAGAGAACGTCACGTGGGGTGGGGTCCTATTGTCGTCTGCCCCTCTCTTTGTCAAACCCGGTCCCCACCTCCCCCAAAAAACCTCTGTCTTTTGAACTTGTGCCTCCCTTCTTTTCTTTATAATTCTTTTGACTTTTGTTTTTTTTCACTTATTTAAATCCCAAAATATGCTCGGTCCTTAATACTACTCCCTCCTTTTTTTATTATAAGAAATAAATAACCAAATTATATTGATTAAAAAACAATTAAAATTAGTTGAGGACAATTAACGTGTAAAAAGTATAATATTTTTTCCAACAATGCCTTCATTAATAAGGAGAGAGGGTATGAGAGAGAACAATTAAATTATTAAAAGATAGAGAAGTGGGAGGGAGAGAGAGTATGAGTTGGAGGCAAAATAAATAGGAGTAAAATAGAAAATCAATACAAAAAAATAGAGACAACTTTTAAGTGTCTCTTATATATAAGAACATGCCATAAGCATCAAATGTCTCTTATAATAAGGAACGGAGGGAGTACATTAATACTACTTCTAGTCCTAATTATAAGAGTTTGTTAACTAATTTAAAAAAATTAAATTAGTTATTTGTAATAAATAGGTGTTATTTTTTCTAAAATATTTTTGTTAATTAAGTGTGTTGGCTGGAATTATCATTGTTAGAATGACTATCTTGGAAAAAATATATAAATATGAGAGAAAAAATAGATTGGGGGTCTTATATTTAGGATCAAAATAAAATTTAAACAAGGTCTTATATTAAGGACCGAAGGTAGTATAAAAATTTATTTGATTTTTATTTTGATCCTAAATATAAAATCTGAATTTATTTTGTCTCTTATATTTATCTATTTTTTTTCAAGATAATCCTTGTAATTATGGTAGTTCTAGCCAATACACTTAATTAGTAAGAAAATTTTAGAAAATACACCACCTATTTATTATAAATAACTAATTTAACTAATTTTTTTAATCTATTTAAATCAGTCAACTGGCTCTTACATTAAGAATAAGAGATAGTATATAAGAACAAAATGATACCACTAATGTGGCCCAGAATGGAACAAAAAAATTCATAGATTTTCAGCTGATGATAGAATTCTTACCTAACTACTACCTTCAAGTCCTAATTATATAGAAAGGAAATCTTATAATTAGCATAAAAAGTAGTACTATATTTGAATCCTTTGACAACGTAAGATTGAAACCAAAATCTCTCGTGGCTTGGATTTCGTCCGCTTATTATGCAATCAATACATTTGGATATACATATACATACATTATACATGTGTGTGTGTGTCCACGATACACTCGCAGGCACACGTGACGCAAGCCACGTAGCTAATGTCCGATCAGTGTCATCAAAAAAATGAATATCTTTATGCGCCTTGATATATCTATGACCGGTCACCGGAGCAGCACTGTTTGAGAAGATGGAGGGGTAACAAACGCAGGAAAGAAAAAAGAAAGTAGCAGAGGGGGCTCAGCTCAGTTGTGATGGTAACGTTCTTGTTTGTTTGTGCTGAAAGAGGAGACATATGGCTTCTTGAGTAGCAATCTGTCCCCAAAACAAAAAAATCTCAAATGTGTGTGTTTTTTTTTTAATGAAAACAATTTCCTGCATCCAAAGGCAAAAAAAACAGAAAGAATGAAGATCCTTCCACGGAGAACTTCTGTTTCAAATCCGTCTGAAACAAGAAGAATAGACTACAAACTAGCTACCCGTCCATGCTTTATCTTTGATAATTTTCCTCTAAAAAAAATGGAGAGATAGAGTTAATGAATTTGGAACATGGATTGATATGATCTCCAACTAGCCAGACACCAATCTTAAAGAAGTCGTCCCTGAATTTCTCTCGCAGGAACAAAAAAAAAGAGCAGAAAAGAAATAATGTCATTGTTGGTGCATAGGATTTCACCTTTGAATCAAAGATTGTGAAAGTTACACGTAGGCTCCAATGTGTGAAGTGTGAAGGAGGAAGAAAAGAAATGAGAAACGGAAGGGACTCCTCCCCCCGTGCACCGCAAAACGGTAAAGAATTGGGGGATCCGTGAATAGCACTTCAGGGGTTTCACTCTCAGGCACCCAATGGGGCTGCTTCATTTGTGTTCTTTTTTCATTTCATCGCCCTTGCCTCTTTGTTTTTCCCTCTATATAAATTGATTTTTATAAATCACACTCCAATTTTTAATCACTAGATTAAAAAATTCTAAAAATTAATTAATTAATTATAATAAATGTCACCTGCACTCACTAAAATATCAACGTGTTGGGTTATATTATGTGTGGGTTTTGCCAGTTAGATAAATTAATTTAAAGCATAATAAATATCAAAAAAATGAATTGAATTAAAATCTTATTATAACATAAAAAAAAAATTTTAAAAAGCCGGGCTTCCACGTAGGCAAAATCATTCCTTTCTTGCATTTCCATGATGACATGATTAGGACATTTTCCAGCCCAGATTACGCCGCTAGATTTGTCTTCCTCGCACCTTGGGGTCCACACTTTTTGACCCTTTTATTTCCTTTAGGGTGTGTTTGGTTAGAGGGGAGGGGAGGGGAGGGGAGCCCCTCCCCTCATTTGGTTAAAAATTTTGAAGGGGAACCAAAATTTTGGACCATTATGCCCTTGTAGTTTTTTTAATATTCCACTTCTACCCATAAAATATATTATTATAATATTTATTTCAAATAAAAAATATATTATTCTAAGTAAAAAAATAAAAAATATATACATTATTATAATTAAAAATTATTTAAAAATTATTTAAAAATAAAAAATTATTTAAATAAAAAATTATAATATTATAAAATTAATTTTTTTATAAATATATTATTTATTAAATATATTTTAAAGCTGGAAAAAAAGATAGCCTAAAGAAAATAAAATTTCATTTTTCTTAGAGCATATAAAATTTGTTAATTTGATTATTTTAAATATATTATTATATTAATTAGAATAAAAAATTACTGTACCAATTTTTTAATACACATATTAACATGATAAGACTGAATTTTTATTAAATTATATGATTTAAATTAAGATGTAAATTAATTTATATAATATATCAATAAAAAACATAAACTAATATGTAAGGGTAAAATGGTAAATTGATTATTACTATCCCTCCCCTCCCCTCTTTGAACCAAACAAGGGATCATTAAATACCCTCCCCTCCTCTCCTTTTTAATCAAACCAAACAAGGTGAGGATGAAACCTCCCCTCCCCTCCCCTATCCCTCCCTCCCCTCCTTCCCCTCAGACCAAACATGCCCTTAAAACCCCGTCATCCCTTCCCATACATATGCTATTTTTCTTTCCTTGCCTTTTCTTTTTCCTCATTTGTCCCCACAATTTTCCTTTTCACTTTTGCATTCCGCCTCGATCACTTGTGACATATTTCATTAAAACTAAAAGGGATAATTAATCCACAGGTCCTTATAGTTTCAACGAATTTTGAATCAGGTCCTTATAGTTTTTTTTCTTTTTATCAGATCCTTATACTTTCACCTGTTTTTAATTAGGTCATTGTATTTATTTTTCTTTTTATCAAGTCTTTATAAGTTCACCTTATTTTTAATTAAGTCCCTGAATTTTTATTCTTTATTTTATAAATTCTAATAGTACTATTATATAAACATAAAATAGTATATATTATTTAATATTAGTTTATAAACAATAATATTCTAAAGATATTGAATTATTGTAATGATTTTAATTTTTTCAGCAAAAAAATAATTGTTCTAAAAAATTTTCCTGAATTAATTAATTCTATTAATTTTTATTACATAATTATTAATTTAATTTAATTATTAATATTTAATATTTCAGTATTAATCTATTTAATTAAGCTTATATTTAATTAATAAATAAAAATTAAAACTACATGGACCTGATTAAAAATTTAGTGAAATTATAAGGACTTAATTAAAAGAAAAATAAATACAAGGACCTAATTAAAAAAGGTAAAAGTATAAGGACCTGATAAAAAGAAAAAAAACTATAGGGACCTGATTCAAAATTCGTTGAAACTATAAGGACTTGCGGATTAATTAACCCTTTAATGTATATATATTTTAAGAAAATAACTAGACAATAATATATAGATGAATACTGAAATTGTATATAGATGTTAAAAATTTAATAACATGGTTTACAAATGTATAAATAAAAAAAATCGCTCTCCAACTTATCAATAACATCGGCATTTAACCTCAGGCATGATATTTTGCAAATCACTATTCACTATATATTTTACAAATATATAAACAAACAAATTTCAATGATAAATTATTTTTCTAGAAATGACAATTGTAATTATCTTTATTTTAAATTATTTAGTTATTAAAACAAAAAATCTAAATTGAATATGAACTCACTAAATCAATCTAAATGGTTGAATGCTCATTATGAGCATGGATTGGGCTCCCTACCCCAATTTATTGTCGTTTAATATTTTGAATAGAAATATTATTGTAAAGAAGATATAATATAACCATCTCTCATTGTTCTGCTTTTACTTTGTCTCAATTTAAACCTGTATATAACGTTGAATTTAGTTACATTTATAATAATAATAATAATAATCTAATACGTGTTTGGAATATTGCATTGAATTTTAGCTTTGATCAAACTAACGCAAAGACAATTTTTGGTCAAAACCATCCAATTTTTTTAACGAAACACATTAGTTTATGACAAAGATAACTTTTAGTAAAAATATTTCCCCCCAGTTCTTAACAGTAAGTCCAGTCTTGTCCACTCCACAACGGCAGATTGCTGCAATATTCCACTACTTCTCAGCAAATAAAACAACCACGCTCGGTCTTAGCTTTGAGCTATTTTTCATTATTAAATATAAGGTTGTAACTAAGTAAGTAGTTTTTGGCGTGACATAGCGATCTGGACTCTGTAGAGAAGCCGGAGATTTAATTAAGTACCAAACCCTGCGTTTTATAGAAATATATTTCACAACTCAGATCCAGTACAAAGTCCTAACTTTGTAGTTAAGCCCCTCTGAGTCTGACTGACACCCACGTTAATTCATCTGATCAGCAGAGAAAAAGCTAACTTAGCTTGCTTATTGGTAGTCAGTAATCTACATTTCTTTTCTGAAGCCTTGGTTAATTACCCTGCCAGCCATCCCTCACTGGATTCAAGGAAGGATGTGAAAGAGTGAAGATTATTGGCCACACTTGTGTCTTCCACGTTGCTCTGCGTCCAATCTCTCAGAATTTCGTCGGAGAACACGAAGGGTTCGTCGGATGATGGGGACAAGCCGTCGACGCTGTTGTTACTGAAGTCGCACATTTCTGAGAAATCCGAGTTTAGGAAGTCCGACAAGCAGATCTCTCCCGCGTTGAAATTCACCAGCATATCCGCAGACGGCGGCTCCTGATAATGATGATCCATCACCGCGCCGGACGACAGCAACGCGTGATTATCATCTCCGCCGAGTAACTCCGTCGTCCGGTTGCAGGCAGCCGCCGCCGCAACATCACCCTGCGGAAGCGGCTCTGCTTCAGACTTGGTCATCTGCAAGAATTGCCTGGAAGAAGGGGGACGGGGGGTGATGATCACCTTCGAACACTTGGCGGCTTTTGTACGGACAACATCCGGAGAAGGCAGGGAGTTTGATTTGGGCTTGAGATTCGCAGGATTATGATTCTTGGAAGCTCTGTCGGCCTGATGGTGAGCAGAGAGTCTACCAGGGGAGGCAGCATTGTTTTGGTGACAATGATGTTTCACTTTCTTTCCTAAGTTAGTGTTCCAGTAATTCTTTATTTCATTGTCTGTTCGCCCTGGAAGCCTCCCCGCTATCAGCGACCATCTGCGGAATGAGAAGATCATAATCAGAGAAAGGAAATGAAAGAAAATATATGAACATGGATCCACCACATGGAGATATGTTTTGTTTTGCAGAATGAAGAAGAGGATATACATGGAGAGAAAATGATGAAAACGGACCTGTTTCCCAAGAGCTTGTGAAGGCGGACGATGAGCTCTTCTTCGTCAGGGGTGATGTTACCCCTCTTAATATCTGGTCTGAGATAGTTGAGCCATCGGAGTCTGCAACTTTTGCCACATCTTTTCAAACCTGCACGAGGATTATCAAAAACAGACAAGACCATGAGCAAATTACAGACATAAGAAGAGTGGGGTAAATATATATATGAAGGGAACGAAGTGATGATGAAGGGACCGACCGACCGACCTGCTCGTTTGGGGAGGTTGCGCCACCGGCCTTCACCGTGCACAGAAATGTAGTCTCTGAGGATCTTGTCTTCGTGAGCAGTCCAGGCACCTCTGTTCAAGCCCTCCTTGGTGCAGCAAGGGCTTCTCCCCATCTCTCTCTCTCTTTTTGTGCCAAATGGGTCGCAGGGTAGAGAGGCCTTCTTATAGGCCCCTCAGTGGCCACCGCGGTCCCAATAATAATGTCACGTTTCCAATTACAATTACAAAGAATCTCGCTTCGCTCTTATTTATTCACGTCGCTTTTGTGTTAGCTCCAGAAATATGTGGCTTTAATCATCCACATGGCAAAGTGGACGGATGCGGGTGCATTTTGGGACCAATTTTTTTTTTCTTTCTTTTTCATTTCTTATTTTTATTATTATCCATAACACATGCTCTTGTCCTGTTCTTTATACTTCATGGGGTTCACAATATGAATTACTTAAACTAATCCATCAGCATCAAAAAAATGACACTATGTACTTTTAATACGAAGTATGAGATCTAGTTTATATTGCAAAATGCAATACGAATTATTTATCGATCAGTTATTTAATCCTTCATCAAATTATTTTTGGTTACTAGTTTGCTCTCAATTACACTCATTTTCAATGGCCCCGCACTGTGAAGTTACGATCAAGTCTCTCGTGTCTCTGCCTCTCATCTTCTTATATAACATTCTATAGATAGAGATAAATATATGATCCGAGACCCTTAGAAGCTTTTCAAGATATAAATTATAGAACATCCAAAATCCTCCACATCAATCGGCAGATGAATTTCTATCACATCTCAATTCCCAATTTTCACTTCTAAAATATATTCTAACTGGTATTGTTAATTTTGATTTTACGTAATCATTGTTATTGTAATTTTCACTTCTAAAATAATATTTCAGCTAGCATTTTAGACTCTGTGTGAGTAGATGGATATAGCCCCTCGGGTGAGAGATATGGTTTATACTACTTCTGGTCCTTAATATAAGACCGTGTTTGCTTTTTACTTTGGTCCTAAATATAAGACCCCAATCCACTTTATCTCTCATATTTATATATTTTTTCTAAAGTAGCCTTTCTAACAATGATAGTTCTAGTCAATACACTTGATTAGTAAGGATATTTTAGAAAAGACAACACCTATTTAGGACAAATAACTAACTCAACTTATTTCCTTAATATCTTCAAATTAGTCAACTGGCTCTTATAATTAGGATCAAAGGTAATACTTATTTTCCTGATTAAGATTTGAACATTAATTGTTGAAATATGTAGATAAAAAAAGACGGACAGAAAAAAAAATTGCAAAGCAGACCCATTGTTTATTATTCATGAATAATATATGTCCTTTTATAATTTTATACTATTTTATTGGCTGCTTGTTTGTCAACACTCCACTTCTGAGTTGGAATCGGAATATTCTCCCTATTCCTCAATAAATCCATTATTACGATTCATCTTTTCGACAATCTTGTTTTTGTCGGAAAAAAAAAAATACTCCCACGTGATTTGGCTTCTCTCTGCGTTATGTGGTACATAATCTAATAAAGGGAATCATACTGTTTACTCACTGTGGTTGGCCCATAAATAATTCTGCATAGGCTATAGATTTTTAAATAGGAGAATTATCATGTCATCTTAGAGGAAATGATTTAATCACTAAAAAATTTTAGTAACAAGTGAGCAGTATAAATTTGTTATCATCTTTTACAGTAAAATTTACCACAGTTATTAATGAACTTTTGGACAATTAAATTCTTTGTTTGAAACCCGATAATAATTCCTCCTTTTTATAGTACACACAAACGCGCACACACCTTTACTAATTGACATTGATAATATTGATTGTGTACGTTCGTAATTTCTCCCTCTTCTTCGTTGGTCTTACCAACACTAAGCACGTGGTTTATAAATAAATAAATATATAAAATAGGCGTTAACATGATTTCAACTGTAACTTTAACCACTCCTGTTGACTTAGTAACATGTCACTTTCCTGTTTCTCCTGTTTCTCCTTGCATTATCAGGATCCTTATTAACTGCCTCTGATTCTATATTCTGAAATTTTCCATCTTCTTCTTTATCCACTCCATTTATTTTCCTCACAAGGACGCCTACCCATTTTACTTTTCATTTGTTACCTTCCTGCGCATCAGTAGCTCGCAATAATTTTCTTTGTTCTCCCTTTCTGCCTTAATTTCTCGCCGCGAATATTATTTTGGATTTTTAGTTTTAGAAAGCGATTTATTCTGGATTCTTTCCTAAGTCGTTTAATTAATAAATACGAATGTTCAATCAATTGACCTCAAACTTCTTATCGCCAGTATTAATAATGTCATTTAAAGAGTGAAAATCTGTATGATATGTAGCTCTTTTTTTCCCTTATCTTCTTATCGTCCTTTTCTTTCTTTTTTTCCATTTCTCTAAGAACAGGTCACCTACTATGCTTGGTGAAATTAGTAAAGTATATGCTACATGTTTTTGTGGAAGTAGCCATCGAGTCATTCAAATTAATTAAGTAGTGATTTATATGATGTGGACTCCTTTTTATTTTCAATTATAATAAATCAGATCTCTAATTGATTTAAATTTATTTTAACGTAACATCAAGCCTTTAATCATGAGTTTTTCATCTTCTGAAATTGAAAATTGCCCCTGGACTGGCAAAAAGTCTGACATAAATAGTATAGAAGAGCATGTGTACTACGCATTTCCCTCTTTATGTCCTCCTCCATCCGAACATCTATCATCGCTAATCTGATTGAAATGGTTTATATATATATATATATATATATATATATATATATTAATTTTCATAATACATAGTCAATTCCAGAGTTTCCAAAAAAAAAAAAAAATCATTCTTCTGCCAAGCAGTTTGCTCTCTATCCCTCTCACTTCAAATCTACTTTACACAAACCCTACGCACAGGAAGATCCAACCTAAATTTTGACAGCTAACTTTCAGTCTGTCTATTTGGTTCTTATCTTTATCTATTTCATATTTGGTCACCTAATTATAGGCAGAGCTTTAGAACTCAAACTAACATTCTAAAAAGCTGGTTGGAAAGTTGGTTGCAGTCAAGGGGGTGTTGTGGACGTACACAGTTTTGTGAGTTTGTGTGAAGCGTGAGATCCCACGTAGAGTGCCTCCAATGTTGGAGTAATGTCACTGACAAAATTAATCAAATCACTAGTACTTTGATGGTCCTTCCTGTGGTTTCTGCCGTTCATGTCCCTCTCATGTCTCTATCTCTCTCTTCATTTCATTATTTCCACTCCACACCTTCCACCACCTTCTTTTCTACTTTTCAACTACGTTCATAGTCCTTCGTTGTTAGTACTTTGCTTTTCCCCTTTTTACTTCTAATCCCATTCGTAATTTAGCTTCTTTTGTATATATACCAAACTTTTAGATGAATGAGACCCATCAAGATATCAGTTAAAAAGTTATAACTAGTTTCCAGTAGACTCAAAAAAACACTTATAAATTTGTTTCGTCATAATAAACGTTATAAAAGAACTTTTTTTTTAAATCCGACTCTCCCTGCTAGATTCTCCTGCTATATGAAGGTGGGCTTTGTATCATTGATCAACCTCTACTTCTCGTGAGAAATGTCCGTTGATGAGAGAATGTTTATTTTGAATTTCATTGTACTTTATTTTTGTCTATAATTAAAGTGATATAGTACTATTCATTCAATATATATCCAAATATGAGTGAACTTGATTTATCTCACATTGAAAAGAGTTGAGCTTAATAAATACTGCATCCTATCCTAAACATAAGAGCTGATTTGTAATGTAAATTATACTATGAAGTAAATTAGTTTTTATATTTAGGACCAGAGGTAGTATTGTATATATAAAAGAGGAATGACCTGTAAACATAGGTGTTGAGGTTTTCAGTTAAGATGTGATGTACTTTAATGACTTTCTTCTATAGAAGTAAAGATAAGTTACTTTTATTATTTTTAATTTTGGGTGAAATGAAGGGATGTACGTTAGGATAGAATAAAGGAGGGTTTCTAATTATGGAAAATTCAGAAGGACAGGTCTATATAGCAGTAATTGGAGACGATGAATGTGTGGGTGATGGTTGAATCAGAAACTATCTGTAGGGTTTGGAAGCTAGAAAGGAATAAATTCTTGTTGTTTTCCTTCCACCCATTACCCCCCAGAATCTTTTTATTAGACTGCTAGATTCTTTTTCAAGTTTGGTATATACCTTCTGGGTTATCTGTCTGTAATTTGATTAAAATATTTTAATCGTATTTATGGTATATGTTAAAGCCTTTAATTATTATCAACAAGGACAGTTATATCAAGTAAGTTAATTAAAGAAACTTCATTCTCTTTGAATAATTTTTTAAATTCAAATTAAATATTGTGGATGGAAATGCAGCACGAAGAGAGCAAACCCCGTTTAGGACACGACCATGCATATTCATATATTTAGATTAGTTAGTACCACTATGTTCGTTATTATAGGTCAATTGTATCCCAAAAGTTTGTTTCAAAATATAAGTCACTTGTAGTATAATTAATGATCTTTTTCCAATTTTACTTCTATTAATTTAATAAAAAATTAATTAATCGCTCTCTCAACTTTTCATTTACTATGCAATCCATCCCCTCCCCCCTCTCTCAACTTTTAATAAGAGTAAATATAAAAAAAATTGGTTAATTTAATGTATTTCTTGGTTTGCGGGTTTAAAATACAAGTGACTTATAATAAGAAATAGAGTGGTACTATCTAACCCAAGATGGCTGTAAAAAATTGCTTATCATCATAGACAATTACCTTTCTAAATATTAAATACCCACAAATTTTTTTATCTAAAAACTATTATGTAGAGTATTCAGTAAAGTTTTCCCAAAGATAGAAATATCTAAAAGCCACGCCTGAGAGGTGGCAAGTCTCTTGCCATTTAATCCAACCGTTTTTGTTAATATACAGAAATTTTTAAAAAGTCAAAAGATGGCCAAATAATTTTACCAGGGTAGCTTTTGATTTTTTTTAAAAGAAAATATAATATTATTCTTTTGATGGAACAAAAGGCAATATTTTTCTGAATGTACAAAAGATTAGAGTTTTTTCTAATATTTATAATAATTTTTTTGGA